ATATTGGCGTACTGATTGTAGAATTAAACAAAGAAATAAAAAGTTTTTACATTAGTACAATTGAAGTATAAAAGACCACCGTCATTATTTATGAAAATATTTACACTTTAGTTTTTGTAAGACTCTAAATTCTTTTATCTTTACTGTATTACACAACCATAAAGTTTTATTCTCAATTATTTAACAAAATTAAATGTCACTTTCTTTGAAAATAGGGAATCTCGAATAATTTTTTTTTATTTTATTAAAACCGGCATCTGATATTAGATATGCCATCAAAGGATTAATACACTATTGCCCTTCACTAATAAATACCACACGCAACTAGGTTTAATTGGGTTAACTTATTGCTGCCCAGCGGTCAACCATTTGGACACGTTCTAGTGAAATATAATAATTTAGAATACCCATAAAATATATATTCAATTGAGTAATACATTCTAATGATCCTTTACAATTTAAACTTCAGATATGTGACAAGATTATTGCAAGATATGGATACTAGATTCCTATAATCCAATCTAATACCAAGAAGTAAAAACATCCTAACAAAAACAATAACCATTAGTTACATTTACAGCTTTGCTGTGAACATTATCCAATTCGTTTAAATGAAACCCTATTCCACATATATCTGTTGTATTAACAGAGATAGTATAACTTTCAAAGTACACCAAAATAAAAATTAAAAGTATAATAAATATTCTTTCGGCGAGAAAATCTGCTTGACTTCGATGACTGATTTAAATAATCAACTAACAGTTTTTATTAATCCATTAAAATAAAACATTACATCCAATGTTAGATGGAATACACATAAATGTCAAGTATTAAACTTAAACATTCTACTTCAATTTAATTGAAAGTAATTAATTTAATCTACTTTTTAATGTACAATTATTACTCACAAACGAATCCTATTTTTTATAAATCAAGTAGAATTGGCCAAATAAATTTATTTTCATTAGAAAAAATTTTAATTACTGCCTCATAAAAATATTACTTTATATTTTTATAAAGAAAATATCATTAAATATTTTTTGAGTTTTATAGTTTTTGAGTTCTATTAAAAAAATATTTTATACTTGACTTCAAATTGTATTTATGCATTACTATAGTAATTTTGGTGAGCTATTAACATATAATCTTAATGTATCTTCAAATAATTTTTATCGTGCTGAAGTTTATATTACTGTCTTAAAATCATACTTTTTTTATATATAAAGTAAACATATAAACTTAAAAAGTGAATTTCTTTTGAGTGATGAGAAAGGAGCAGATGAAAGTTTTTCAGCGAGCAAAAGAATTACTAAAAACGTTTTTCACGCGTCAGTAAGCGGTTGATGTGATGGATCGAAGTACATAATGCTGACTTTGCTTGTCACACGTAGAATGATCAAAAATTGTACTTGACATAAAACAAGAGTATTATGTAATTGTATTTTTCATCGTGTATGATAAATAATAATAATTTTTGAAAAATAAAGTAAAGAAAATGAAATGTTCAAAGTTGTTTTGTGTAAACTTAAAAACATTAATAATTTTGTCGTTAAAAAGTCTGCCATGTGTAGATAAGTTTCACTATTTATTAATTGATTATTATAAGTTATACGAACTGCCTTGAAAACATTTTGATGGTGGAATCATATTAAAGAAAAAAGAAAGATGATGTTAATTTCATTGATGTTGTGTAATATCTTTTTCATAGGAATATCTATAAAATGCTGGTCCTCTGTCAATGTATGCTTTCTTAAAAACTTAAGTCTTTTTAGAGTATTGTTAATATAAACTAATGAATTTATGTGTATATTTTTGCATATTATAATGTATTTAATTATTAAAATAAAAGCTTAAATTTATCGAAATTTTTCTGTCTCTGCGGCCACTTAAGTCTGGACATATGTTATACAGTTTTCATTCCATTTTGATTTTTGAAATTCTCTGTAAATTTCATTACATTCTTGTTGTCGTTGTGTAAATACAAATTTATCGCGTAAGAGTTAACATGTTATTTAATTCTTCAAATGCATAGATAAAAATAAAGTACATCCCTCGCATGTCATCGATGGAATGCATTCTTGAAACACACAACTTACTGATGATAATATTCTTCATTCACGCTCTATAGAGCTTGCCAATCTGATCAGTCAAATCCCCTTGGTACGTATGTGGGTAGCGTTTAGACATTTTACAAAGTGATCGTAATGACGGATAATCATTTTTTACCCTTCGCTTATACTGACGTCGTTCGACCTCACCGTTGAATCAGAGTTGAGTGTGGGATTTGTTCCGGAAGACAAAACATTCGTGAGGTATCCCCAACCCATCCGGACTAGCCATGTGGAAAATTCGAGCACTGATGATTTTTTCTTGGTTATGTATACCCTTGTTTGTTGGTTTCATCTAAATTCCATTGTAATATTAGTCATACTTAATAACAAATTTAATTTAATTCAAGGTTTGTCGGACATGTACTTAGTAAAAACCAATACAATTTATTTGTTAAAGAAATGCTACATTTATTTCTTATAAATAGTGAAAATATATATGACAAAGTAAAATACTTGTCCATCAGTATATATTGAACACTATTCGACATAACAATAACATAACAAATAATTTAGCGAAGTTTTTATCTGTTGTGCTTATACAAAACTAAGATGTCAGTTTAACTTTTTTCACATATACTATAAAAATGATATGATAAATTTAATGGAATATTTGTATTATGATTCTGTAGTTAAGGAATTTTACTAAAACACATGTCATATAATTTCATTTTTCTTAAACTTTCCGTAACTTCATGATAAATTAACAATCTTATCTCCCTACCTTTGCATTTAATTAATCATTTTTCAGCACATTACATAGAATGAACACGACTATTTTTATACTCAATTCAGTCATTAGAGTATATATGTACTAATGTATAAAATTAGAAAAGAATATTGATAAATTTAATGAACATTTTTTTATTGCAAAGTCTTATTTGACACAATAGAATCAACATGAAATAATTAAAATTTACAATGAAAGCTAATTGATTGAGTTTATTTGATCGTAAACGTAATGCAATATAAAAAAATACCAATGACACTGCCTTTGAATTTTGCTATAACTACATTATAATCTAAATTCACTTAATCTTAAATAATTTTATTCGTATATACTTTCACACTGTAAGTTTGACAAGAAAAAAAGAAGAATATTACATCAAAGACTATTCAAATATTAATAATAATCATTTTCATTTTAATATGAACTATCTAATCTTTTTCTCATCTTAATTAATAATAGCGACCTTTCCATTTAAAAGAGTAATATCATGAATACAAAAATTACAAAAAATATAAATCAATTAATTTTTTTGACCAATCCCACTATATAGCTGGTAGTTCAGGAAACGGGTTTCTATTGCTCTTATTATTTGTTACAATTAACCAGTTACCTTACTCTTTAAACACTCTGCATAATAATACTGAAAACTTTTTCAATAGAACAACAAAAAACGAAAGTGAACTAATTATTTAACAGACAACTTGAACAAGACAAAATAAAATAGGCATATTTTTAAATAATTCGTACATTATTTACGAAAATTTAAATTAATAAAATAATAAAAATTTATTTATTTTATTTACAAAACCAATCTGTATGTTCATTATAGTATTCGTAAACCTTGTACACCAATATAAATACAGAAAAGTAAAAAATAATTTCGTAGAAAACAAAATGATTAATACGTGTAAAAAAATAAAAATTACAATTCTTACAATTAAATACTATAAAGTTCGCAAAACATTAAAATATATCTTAATATTAAATAACTTTTTATATCTTTTAATTTTTAAAATTTAATTTTAAATAGAATTTAAAAGAACTTAACAAAAACTAAGTTGACGGAAAGGTTCGTTCGTTTATTCTGAACTCTGCAGCTTTATATTCTAATAACATAAATATATATATATTTTCAATGTTAAAGTCGAGCTTTAAAAAAAAAAATGTTCATCGATGCCATTCACAATTTTTTATAGATATTTTGCGTCGGTACTGTAAACGCGTTTAAATATTTGTTTAACTTTTCATTCGAAGAGTTTTTAAATCGATGATGCATTGAAGTTTGGTAATATATCCCAAGAAATCGATTTCACTACTTGTAATATTTAACCCAGAACATTGAGAAAAAAAACTTTTACCGCAAAATGTTTAGGCTTCAAGACGAATATAAAAAAAAAGATACACGTAAAGTATTCTACCACACATTATACATGTAAAGCGAAAAAGTTTGATCCTCGATTTTGAGATGACATTATGGTTTTAAGGCTTTAATATTATGATAATACGTTGATGTAAAAAAGAGAGTATATTTCAGCTTAAAAACTTAAAAATGTTATAGCATGTACTCATTTGAACCTGTTGAATGAAAAATAAAATCATTTTTATATTATTATTTTTTGACGTTGCTACTTTTTTCACAAAAGCTAATAATAATTATTTTTTAATTGTTAAAGTTATAATCTTAAAAAACTATTATTGTTTTTGATACAATATTATTTTTCAATTTTCTTTGGTTAGTGTCTAAGCGTAAATCGGGTTGCAAAATACCAATTGTTTAATTGATGTAGAGATAACATTACATAGCATTATTTTAAAATACAATTGTACTCATAAATGAATGCTACAATAATTAGTCGAGATAATAACTTTTATTCTATGTTGAAATTCAAATTTAGTTATAAATAATAGTGTAATATTTACACAATATAAATAAAGTTAGGAAAAATTTAAGAATTATAAAAAAATTTAATCATTTAAATTATTTATTAATGTTTAATATATAAAATAAAATTTAATTGAAAAAAGTAATCAATATTATTATAATAAAAGTTATTAACAATTATTTTATTTATTTTAATAGTATTTGTTAATTTTTAATTATTTTTTGGATTTAATACGATTAAAACAAAAGACTTATTTAAAAATAATTCTTTAACCAGAATTGGAATTTCAATTAAATAATTAAAAATGGCCTGTCTTTCTCGAAATATAATTTATTTACTACAAAAAATGTAATATTTCTTATAGTGACATACGCAACCTATTCATGGATCATAAATTAACAAAAAATTACCGCAATTCTGAGAAAAATACTACTACTTAAGTAGTTATTAGAATTTTTAATAAGGCTCATTTCAAATGCTCCTTAAAACTTTTCTTTATTTCAATTATTTTCTTTTTAATTATAAGAAGTATGTATTATTTATTTGGTATTGAATTCAGATATAGAAATATTATAATAATGGAACATAGCTTCTTTGAAAAGTAAATTAACTAATAATTTTTTTTTCTTAATAATTTATTAATTTAAAGCTATTTACTCTTTTCTTATAAAAATATTTGATTTTTTGTATCTTCGGAAATAGTAACGTTTCAACTGTCTAAGAACTGATTAAATATTAAAACAGATTTATCGATAAAGATAACTATTATGAATTTTCAATATTTGCCATTTTTTCTCTTGTGCCGTTTATGGTGATATTGGATATCTTATAGAAGAATGTAAGCACTGCAGTGGTTAATGTGTAACGTTATATTTTTTACAATTCAGTAGAAGCGTGCCTGACTTACGGTGTATACTTATTGACAGCTGCTGACAGTAACGTGGTCAGTCATCCAAACTATTGTAGAAAGAGCTAGTCGATGCAGTTGTTGTTCGAGAGACCCTTAAAAAGAAATATATATATATATATATAATAATAATAAAAGTAATGAAAAGGAATAGAACCGGTGGTACGCTTTCAATAAGATAAATTCTTCATCGAAGAGACATAAACCCGATTTGGTTTTTTTCTTCATTTAAACATCTGTTGCTACTTGATTGAGATTGATTATAAGTGTTGTGTACCAAAATCCTTTAAAAAAATTTACTTGAAATACGGAAGGTAATATTGCTTTTCTATGCGTCAACGTATTTGATGCATTGAACTTACTCATAGCCATTCTAAAAATAAAATAAAAAGGTTACAACGTAAAGTTGACTTTTTGACTATATTTTCATTTTATTTTTAGTATATAAGGTACCAAATAAAAAAATTATTTTATGATACTATTTTTTTAAATGTTCATGTTAAATTTTACTTAAAATAAAATTTATTGTATTATAATATATTTATTAATTGCTCCGGCTATTATTTAATGTGTGCCTGTAAACAATAATTTATTTATTACTAAAAAAAAATTCTTGTAAGTTAAATTTTACTTAAGAACTTATGTAACTATATTATCTAATTCCAAATTAAAAACTTCTCGTTCAATAATTTCCGTAACAAAGTAATAAACTACAAAAACTAATAAATATTTCATCTAAAACTAAAACAATTCATTTATTTAGTTTTAGTTATTTGTTTGCTTTTACTAGATAAATAAAATGTAGTTTTCTCGTTAAAAAAAAATAAAACATTTAATTGAGAAACTATTTTTCAAATCAGATCTACCGTAAAATATAAATGCTGTTTTTAACATTATAGGTTTTTTTTAACGAAATTGTTAGCTAGCTTATACTTATTCATTTAAGCGATAATACTTATATTTTATGGTTAACTTGGAAATTTTAAATGTAAATATGTTTTTAAAAGTAATATTTGTCTCATTTTAAAATAATAAAGCAACTAAAAGACAATTAATGTAGATTAGAAACTGTAGAATGAAATAATTTTATTATGCTAGTGTCTCAAGAGTGTGGGTATTTTTAATATGCTTATATATTTAATTATATTCATTTTAAGATATTCATATAACGTCTTTTTGGCTTTTATTATATATGTAAGAATGACAGTAAATCCGAATCCGAAAAGTTAGGCATGTTCTGTTGTTGTTCATTGTATGATTTTATTATCTGAAAGCATTTTAAAATATTTTTACTAATGCATAGAAATCTTTCACCGTCTATTGTTGGATGGAAATGAAATTTTGCGCATAAAATAAAAAATAATTTATAGCATTCGTTCAGATATTTGAATAAAATAATATAAACACAAAAACCGAACTCACTAGAAATGAATAAAAATGTATTTATTATTTGTCAACCTGAACGAGTTGATGATTTATGCTGTAATCGTAAAATTAAGTAAAAATGTTACCATACATAATTAATCTACAGCATATTAATATTGCTCATATATTTTTATAAATGTTTTCACAGTTCAAAAAGGACCATTTTACAGTTTCGTTTTTACCAACTTAAAAAAATATTAGTTTTATTGGAGTTTTTTTTAAGATAGGATATTTCAGTACACCAAAAACTACATTCTAAGAAATAATATTGCTAAATAAAATGTTATAAAAGCCTCAGTCCATTCATCTTAATTTTGAAAAGCCTATACAAATTTTGTTGTTTGAAAAAAAACCTCCATACGTAGTTGTAAAGATTCTTATATTGATTGGTCTGGTGATGATTCCCAAAAAACCACAAATAGGTAGACTTTATAAAAAGAAGTAAGTAATAGAAAGATATTTATTATATATATATATATATGATATATAATTGATAAATATCAATTATATTTTCGTAGTTTGTGTATATACTCAAATCATATTACAATTTTATTTTTTAGAAGTTCTTTCGATTATTTATCTAAACTGCTTGTCAACATGCAAATACTCAAAAACACAATAATGCGTGACAACAGATTTTCAAATTATTTTCCGTCATAATATCTTAAAATGATTTAAAAACTAACAATAATTATCAAGATTGACCTAATTTTAATCATTGTTCAGAATTACATAGGTACAGTATAATTATCTTAATCAAATCACAAATCAAAATTAAATTTTATTTTCTTGTTGGTTTTTGTATAATTACACTATTGCCATATTACTAGGCAAGTCTCTTTAAAATAATTATACTTGATAACATTTTAATGTTTACTTTCTTCTGTTACTATATATATAAAAGAAATATATATATATAGGCAGAATTGTGTTAACTAAAAAAAAAGGAAAAATAAATTATTAAACTGCAAAGATTGCTCGTTCAGCTTAACTATAAGCAGACAAATTGGTCTCGGGGTATTACATCGTTTACCACGAAAAAATGGTAGTATGTTTTTAGATTATCACCTGAGGAAGGTACGCACATGTAGTAAGAATAATTTTATAGGATACGTGTGTTTTTTTCGATAAAAGACATAAGCTAACACCACCGTTGGGTATAGTCTATAAAATATATCTAGTAACTTAAATACATAATCTTTACTTGAGATTTTTGTACCATCAATAAATGTGAAAATGCAACATATTTTTTTATCTAAGCATCTATAAAAGCTTGCATTTATAAAGATAGCATTATTTGACAAGAATCTAAATAACCCAATAGGTAAAAATTGGTTTTTGTTAAAAATAAATCTGTTATATACTTCATCGTTATCCCCATAATGTCTTTTAAATTTCATACATAATATATTTTGATTATTCATAATATAATAATTTTTTTTCGGATTTTTATTTTATGTAAGCGTTCGTACCGCAGTAGGGAGTTTCTTATCTCTTATTTGAACGTTGAAAATCTGAGACTAGATAGATTGTACCTAAGGGGCCTAATTGACAACAGAATTTCAGGTACACAAAATCATAATCCTCCAACAGCAAATAACGCCTCGGATCATATAAGGTAAAACATAATGTTTTATAAAATAAATATATATTGTATTATTATTAGTATATTTTCTAATAAAAATAAAATAATAAAAACTTTTTATTGTGTCATTAGAAAAAATCAACTTTTGGAATTTGAAATAAATTAAACACAAAAGAAAAATGAATACAAAAATATTTAAAAATAAATAAAACAGTTTTAAGAAAACTTTTATTTTATCTTTGTTTTATTACAATTCTTTAAAAGCAAAAGCAACTTGACTATAAGTTTGTGTGTATATACTTATACGAGAATATACGAAAATCTCGATAAACTTCACCACCGTATTAAAAAACTTTGTAACGTCGCAAAGTAAAAAATAATAATACACCATAGAATTGTTATTATAAATCTCTTAACTACAAGTAAAATAACTATTCGCGAGTAATATTAAATGCATAAAGTACTCATTCCACATTCTTAAATTACTGTTCACGTGTGTAATGTATAAAATAATAATTTCTGTATACCGTCCACCTTTAATAATAAATTACCATCAGAATACATATTTAAAATTTTTTTACCTTTTTATTTGCCTCTTTCTTAACAATTAATTGCGTAATTCTTTTTTAGAAGTAATTTTTCTAAGGATTACAATCGGTAATACGCTAATGTCACTAAATGCGTTAGTGGTTTAAACAAAGAATATTACTTAAAAACATAACCAGAAACGTGCAATTATTGATCGTTTATTTGGCCATACTGTGTTTGACTTAGAGGTTTAATGAATTTTTTCATTAAACCTTTTGTTGATATAACTCAGTTAAAGACAGTAATAAACACGTTTTTATTTTTTTTAGTAGTGTTTATTTATGGTAAGCACTATTTGCTAAAGTATGTTTGAATTGTTTTATACCAAATTATTTTGCGACTTTGTTCCTTTATCATACTCCAAGGTTTATAAAAAATAATTTAAACGCAAAATTTTTGTGGCAACACATATAGGTGTCGATTTATGTCTTATGGATTATTTCGTCAAGTAAAAAACATTTTTCAGTATGTATATACTACGCAGATATTGGAAAAATACAATCATCTGAAACAAGCTATTCAATTTTCACCACAATAACCAAACTATTGGTAGGTTATGAATTGGCGGAGTCTCGAGAGATTTGCATCTATGTCGAAAGTAATACACCCGCACATAACCATATTTGTATGTGTCTTCATTTTAAAATGCCTACTCTATTCTTTTCTCCTACAAAAAAATATGCATTTAATCTTCGTTTACTATATTTCGACAAAGAAAACTAAACATTTACTTAAATTTAAATTTTACTAGCATTATTCATGTAGAGCTTACAATGTCAATACAAACACTAATAAATAAAAATTATCATATTAAAATTAATTTAATTTGATATTTTATATACTCGATTGCTTTTGGTTTAAAAGTTAATTACATTTTATAAATAATTTATTACAATTATTTTACACAATAATATTGAAATAATGTTGTAATAGTAGAATTAACAAAGATACTTAGGAATCGGAAAAACTAATACAATAGCAGTCTGAATCTTTATCTAATAATAACGATAAAATTATTGGGTCCAAATAATAAAAATTCAAATCTTTATAAAAGTTTAGCAACGATGAAAATAATGCTATTTTTCGGCCTCAGTGTATCAAAGTTGAGAAATTAAATAATTATATAAGTAATAAAAAAAACAAAATATGGTGCCAAATATTTTTGGTGAAAGGAGTATTGTCGTATATGTATACATAAAAAATCATATAATGGTTGCGTATATACTTCAAACTCATTTTGTTGTGTTCATTCAAAAAATCTGAATTTTGACTCAGAACGAAATAGTTTAAACGACAGTTTTCAATTTCTTTGGAGAACGTTAATCAGCAAAGAGATTTCATTGTCTTGCGTTATTGATAATTTTTGATACTTTGGTTATAATTTTAGAAACCATAGATATGTTTAAAATTTAAAGAAGCTATATAAATGTATAAAATATATGATACCATAGAAATTATCAAAATTTAAAGAAACCATAGGAATTATCAAATTTTTATTATTTATATTTGGGTAGCTTCAGGAAAATTTTATATATAATAAATATTCGAACAAGAAATAATTATTGAACAAATTTGTATATTACGATTGAGACTTTGGTCGTTGTCTTTTACCTTATACAAATTTATATTTATTAAAAAGAATTATATATCAAAGAATGGATTTTTATAGTTTTAAATTAATTGTCAAAAATTTTTAGTTATAGTTTCTAAAATAATATTTTTAAGTGCTTTAAATAGCACGTTTTAGTACCATAAGGTATAATTTGAAAATATTCTATAGTTTTATTAGATTGTTAACAATGTTTAACTATTATCTATGTTTAAAACTAGTAAAGTTCTTGTGTCATTAGAATGGTTATTAACCAACAGGATACCATTCTAGAGTATTTTTATAAATGTGTAATAAATTTCGTTACCAGTGTGAAGTCTGCTGGATATTCAATACCCGAAGAACATTATAGAGGAAAATCATCAAGTTGTATCAAAGATTTAAAAGATTAAATAAACTTTTCTTAACTTAAATTGTATGAAGTAAATTTAAGAAAAGTTATAGATGATGTCTGCAAAATCATAAAATTACATTAAGAAAGCCTTGATAAAGAAGGAGAGTATTTTCCAAAATTTAACTTATTTAATGAAAAATTAAATACTTTAAACCTTAAAATGTCATTAAGGTTTTTATCTTTAAGAATTATTTTTTCGATATAACAACTGAAATAAAATAAAATAGTTAATGTTCTATTCTTTATTAAAATATGTTTGATATCAACGTATGTATAAAATTTTAAACAATAATGTTTGGTTTATCCATAAGAAATAGTATTATACAATATTATTATAACAGATGAATTTAATAAATTAGGTTTTTGTTATAAAACCAAGAAAAACATAACACAGAATAAACCTAACGTAATTTGAGACCATGCAAAATATAAATCACCTTTAAACTATTACAATTAAAGAAAAAACGATTTAGATGCGAATATAGATGTAGGAAATTTGATTATTTAAAATGATTATTCAATATAACTTTATAAACTGTAAAGTTTTATTGTTTAATTTATTTGTTTAAAAATTTAACAATAATGTTTTTAGATATAAAATATCGTAATTAACTTGTATGAATAATACACAAATATAAATAATAAACTAGATTACAAACTGATAATGGCTGAAGTTAAATAACCGTCGTCTTTTTTGAAGCTAAACATTCTTATTCTTATAGTTCGTGTACAAACATTTTTATAATTAAAAACTTTTTGCTTTAATAACAAAATTATTTATACACGAATTACAAGAAAAATATGGCGGCTATTTGCTTCAGTGGCGAACACAGGTAATATTGGCCAGTAGTTTATTATCTATATCTGTGGAATATTATGGACAGAATGATGTAAATATTATTCCAAGAAGCTTTGCAATACAAATATACCTATAAACATTTACTTAAGTAAAAATTGAAATTGTTGTATTTTTATTTGAATAAATTATATCTATATTAAAATGTGATACAATGAAAAATTTATTTATTTTGTTATTATTGAATATTTTTCCATTAATAATAAAATATTATAAAGGTTTTTTAAATTTACTAGAAAATGTTGATTAAAAGTAACATCTTGAGTATTTTCCGAAATTTTAGATATTTCTGTTTAATTTAAATGCGTCACGCACATTTATTTATGTTAACCTAAATTATATTCATTTACCTATCTCATTTTTGGTTATACTTTTTCCATTTTTTTACTTTGCATCCATTTCCATAATTTTACATACAATAATAATATTTTAGACCTTTTATCAACGTATGCTGAAGTATATTACATATTTTTTACACTTTATATTAAGCTATTTTTAGAATCTTTGTCCAATATTTTTATAAATTCATCCTTTATAAAATACATTTTTTTCTCACACAATTATTTTTATTTTTATTAGTCCATTTAAACACTCTATCTACGATCTAAATTTATATTAGATCAAAGTTTAATTCTTGTCTTCTTAAAAGTATAAAATTTATATTACGAATATAAATGCTAAATAAATCATTTTTATGTGTGTAATAAACAACCTAATCGGTTTTAGTAAACCTTTTTTATTTAATCTTATTCACTTTTAAATATATTAAATTTTCTTATTATGAAAATTAATTTTTCTAAGAAAATCTCATAAACTCAAATTTTTAAATAGTATAGTAATCACTAATATTTTTCTTACACTCTTTTCATAGTTTTATATTAAATGTGTGCTATCGGCTCAAACTTCAATTTCACTTAACTATTTCTTTCTATTACAGTAGGTTAAGTTTTAAAAGTTTAAAGCTTCTTATAGCGAAACACTAACCTTTTTTTCTTCGTCTCCTATCTACATTTTCTTTATTTTCTTTAATCAGTTCAACTTAAGGATTCGGCCTAGTTGGATGGCATCCATGCTTTGCTAATGATCAATTCCAAATTAAATCAATAAAAAACTGTTTTTTTATTGTATTTGTTTAAGCAGCTTTTGTTGTTGTAAATTAAAAATTATACAAGTTCCTTCCAACTACTCCATCCTTCGTTACACCTCTTTTTTAAATTCCTGCTCTAGCTTATTGCAGCGTTGATGCTGACCTTTCATTCATCACTACACTTATGTGGGACAATCGACACTCATGACCTTTTGTCTTTAATATCCTTTCAATTTCCCGTTTACTTCACAAGAAACTAAACATATTTCATAATTCTTCTCATAGTACCTTTTATAGTCATAACAATAGTCTATATAGTGGTTGATGTACTTAAAAATTATGGGTTTATGGTCACTGTTATGACAATAACTACATTTATATTGAACCACTAAAACGTTTAAAATAGTTTAAAACGGTTTATAGAAATAAGCAATTTAGGATTTACATGCATATTCTCAAACATATTTCTATATAAAGAACATACACATTAAAACTTAAATTGTTTTAAACAATTTATGTTAACTTAAATAGTCATTAATTATTCCCTGTTTACATAACTAATTTAAAACCGTTTTACAATAATTAAAATTGTTGTAATCTTGAACCACCTAAAACTGAAGTTTTATTTTTAAAACATTTCAAAGATTTCAAACTGTTTACATGATACGGTATTGTTTTTATTTCAAAACGAATTTAGTTTAAAACATTTTAGCGGATTGAAAAATTCTTTTGTGAAAGCTATAGTACCATATTCTATTTCATTAATTTTGATAAATAACCTGACAGGAATCTTCTTTACTACATTGTTTACAAACCTCATTTCGCAACAAAAAATAAATTCAGTTCATTTGCGGGGGCTACACATATTTTTATTTAGGGGACTGAAGCCCCCAATTTATGCTAATGATATGAACGTAATAAAAAAACTGTTTATTTGATTCTATTTTTTATTTTATTTATTGTTTCTGTATATTAATATGCAATATCTTACATTTATAACTAATATGCTATTAATCGTAAAAAATAAAAATAAATATTATTAAAAATTCATAATGACGCTGATAGTAGTAAAATACACGGAATTATAATAAATCAAATGCTTTGAAAATAATATTATTTATTAGCTTTGTTTAAAAAATTCAAAGTGTAATATTTTTTTATTGTTCACAAATATAAATAAATTTTTCTCTAAAAATGAAGCCTTATTATTAATACACAATTTTACTGTTATTGGTATTATTTTTCTTAACATCACTTA